AACACAATTGACTAAAATGTTCTCCTGGCTGAACCCTGTTAATCTATTGTACTCTGGGCATTTTAAAGAGGCTTGCGCAGGACTTTTCAGAGCACTGCAATGGATGGACCAAAATTGCCACTCTTCATGACACATAAAATCTACTAGCTTGCCTTGCCTGTCAGTCTAGGAGAAGACTGAGAGAGGTACTTAAGAATTAGAGGTTAGGACCCTTTTCCTCTTCACTGGATGCTTTCACAAAACTGTTTTGGTTTGAATTTTCCGGGGGTGCAAAGAAGCAGATTACAATAGATCCTTATGCCTGGCACCTGGTTGAATTCAGTCTGTAGGCTTCAGTGTTGTATTGATCCAGTGTTGTGGCACAATAGTTTGTCTTCTCCATTAACTACTCATTTGTGTGGGTGGATGAATTGGAATGGTTTTTGTGAGTGCAGGAGAACAGACAGGAAAAAGATATCTTCTTGGTGTTTTTTTTTTTTTTACATTTTTTTCTTTTTCTTCTTTTTACAGTACAGCTGGTTCTCTAAACTCTAACTGGCCAAGGAACGTGGGGAAATGAAAACCTTTCCTGCAGTTGTTGATTGGATAACTATGGATTCCAAACCAGAGGACAAGATTTGGGGGATAGCCAGCCCAAGCGCCTGGCAGAAAAGCAAAGGATATTGGTCGTGTGTGTTCATTCAGGAGTTCTCTGATCAACAGCTCAGTGGTGCCTTGTAAAAGCCAAAACTTTCATCCTGCTTCCAAGTGAACTCTTCCAACCCTTTCCCCTGAGAACCTTTTGTTTAATTTTTATGCATCTTGGAGAGGCAACATCAAGTAAGATTACTGACAGAAGTTAATTTTTGAAGAGAGAGAAAGGAAGGGAGAAACAGAAGAAAAGATGGCAACAGGAAAAAAAAATTATCCTTTATTTATTTAGCTCTCTTAAAATGCACTGTTAATTGACACATATTTGGAGGCAGCTTAATTTTTTAAAAGAAATTACAGCATTAATCTGAACTATAAAATGAATAGCACAAATATATAGCACACCCAAAAACTATTATCCAAGCCCACAGTAAATCTGCAATTAAACAGATCAGCAATTCAATACATGTAATATCAGGGGACCTTATATTTTTTTCCAAAAAATCATATGGGATGGACAATATGTTACATCCTATATAAGGATGGACAATATCCTTATATAGAAGCTGTTCAGTAATATTGGTCTTTCCTTTTAAGAAAATATAGGAATCTTACAACTCACTGAAGATGCTAACTTTCCTTGAAAACAAGGCATGTCTTCACAGCAAATAGGAGCAATTCAGTTTTGTGTTGTCATTTCCTAGCTTTTGCTCTATACAAATAATTTTTTATGGAATAAAAACATTTTTCTTAAAAAAAGAAAAAATAATCAAAAGGAAAAAGAGATGGATCAGATCCATGTCAGAGAAACATATGGATCAGAACAATGTACAGTAATAAAAAAAGTGTGAGGGATGTAGGTGAAAAGAACAACAAGGAGTGAAGAAAAACATTGTATGCACCTCATGGCAATAGCTAGACTTTTTTTCTGCATCCCTCTCCTGTTTAGGAGATAGCCACGGAAGTAATCATTAGGTTCTCTCTTCTGGGTGGATTCATATCCTAGGAAGGAGGCTGTACAATGAATCGTGGAAGCGACAGCAGCTCCATGGAGGAACTATCCAAAGCTACCCTGCACATTAACTCACTTTGGTGGCTGGCCTGTGGGCTTCTTGCGTTGTTAGCCAACTCCTGGATAATCTTGAGCATCACAGCAAAGCAACAGAAGCACAAGCCCCTGGAGCTCCTGCTCTGCTTCCTGGCAGGGACACACATTCTCATGGCTGCTGTGCCACTTACAACTTATGCCGTGGTGCAGCTGCGACGTGAATCTTCTGACTATGACTGGAACGAAAGCATTTGTAAAGTCTTTGTGTCTACCTATTATACATTGGCCTTGGCCACATGCTTCACCGTGGCCTCTTTATCTTATCACCGTATGTGGATGGTAAGATGGCCAGTGAACTACCGGCTGAGCAATGCCAAGAAGCAGGCCCTGCATGCTGTGATGGGCATCTGGATGGTCTCCTTCATCCTTTCTACCTTGCCATCCATTGGCTGGCATAACAATGGAGAGCGTTACTATGCCAGTGGCTGCCAGTTTATTGTCAGTAAGATTGGCCTAGGCTTTGGTGTGTGCTTCAGCTTGCTTCTTCTTGGAGGCATAGTCATGGGCTTGGTGTGTGTGGGTATTACTTTCTACCAGACCTTATGGGCGCACCAAAGGCATCATAGATGCCATCACGAAAGAACAGAAGATACTTCTTGTCCTTCTTCAGTTCATAACACTTTCAATGTGCCAGCCATCGTAGTAGAGGATGTCAGAGGCAAAAGAAGATCGTCACTGGATGGATCTGAATCTGCTAAGACTTCCATGCAGATGACCAATCTCATCAGCGCAATTGTTTTTCTGTATGACACACTGACTGGTGTACCCATTTTGGTAAGAAATATCCCTTCCTATTTTTGACCTGTTGTTTTGGATGGTCTCTAGAAGGCATAAATCCAGTTATGAATCCTTAATTTCTGTTAGGACTGACATAACCAAAATCACTTTAACAAAGCAGTTTCTTCCACCTTGCATATACAAAGACATTTCCTGAAATAAGGACATTTCACATTCTGAAATAGAATGATAACAAGAGGATTTTGGATTATATTTCTAATCTAAGTCATTTTTCATTACCTCTTTAAAATTAGCCATTCCTGGCAAAAAAATGTACATCTCCCAGAGCCCCTATATGAGGGAGATGGACGGTTAAGAAGTTTGATGGATGGATGGATGGATGGATGGATGGATGGATGGATGGATGGATGGATAGATAGATAGATAGATAGATAGATAGATAGATAGATAGATAGATAGATAGATAGATAGATAGATAGATAGATAGATAGATAGATAGATAGAGTCAGTAGTAGCCAAAATTGTGGAAACCTTTTGGGAAAAGTGTACAGTAGAAATGCCACCTTTAGTTAAGTTTCCACCAATTTTTCTTCTAATTTCTTTATAACTGTAGCCTTGTTCACTTAATAATACTATTTTACATCACTTTCTGGGCAACCAATCAACTCTTTGCACCATTACTTTAATTTTATTACATTTTACAAGCTCACTAAATGAAAGAACACAAAAAAACTCAACCAACTTGATAGCAATCACATAACACACTGACAAATGTCCTCCTCTCAGCTTCAATACATGACATCAATAACTGAATCCTACTGTGATCTGATTGGCTCATTGCCAAAACAAGATGACATCTGATTGGCTCTCTAAACACTCATGCTCATTGGCTACAATCAGACGAAGAAAAGCTACCTGATATCAACCTAAGCAAGTTGTGCTTCCTTTTTCTGCTTATTTGGCTATAACTTTTCATAGAATACAGTACAGATAATTGAACAAATTTTGTTGCATTACATTCTTGATTACATTATCTTTCCATTGATATATAATTTTATGATACTACAAAAAAGTAGCGTTATTAGCTATCAAACCTCAAAAATACACTTTTCCCAAAAGGTTTCCACAATTTTGGTCACTACTGTAGATAGAATCACCTATAGTCTTCAGGGACTGTGTATATCAGTCATAGATTGTGTCCTTTGGTCCAGTTCCTAACCATGCACTACACTAAGGAGATACCAAATGCCTTAATAGTATTTCAAAAGGAACCTATAATTATATACCCATTGGCGGGGCAGAGAGCTGGTGGGGGGGCTAAGTAATACATGGATGGCTTTGAGGATTAGGCCAGGAGTAACACTGCAAATTAATAAAATAGTTAATATTACATTTCTTTTGATATTCTGTAATATTAAGCTCTACATATTTGATCATGTTTTTTCTGTCTGGTTAAAAATTATAATTAGTGGCCATCTCTGGAGAGATCTGGGGATTTCACTTTGGGGACTCTGGCACCACATGTGGTACCATAGAGCCTTATCCGTGGAAGACAGGTCATCCAGCATCAAGGGGGGATGCTCTAATCAAAATTGTGTTCTGGAGTGTAGTAATTTATTTTTCATTATAAAAGTAAATAGATGTCATGGGTGGATAGAAAGGAAATACATGTATTCTGGGATGCTTTGGGGGGTAAGTGCCCAATCTGTCTTAATGTCTTTAACACCATTCTGATCTCCTCTCAGCAATGCTGTAGAGCATATCTTAATTAATTAATGGGAATTAATGGGAATCACTGATAATCCACTGTATGTATTTGAGATATATAAGTCTGGTGGTTTCATTCATGCTGGACAAAAATGCTTGAATCTTGGGGGCTATTTATTTCTATACATATGTTCAAGAAACCAGGGCTAGATGGAAATCCAGATGTATTGCTAGACCACCTGATTGAGATGTGCTAGATCACCAGTTCTTTAACAATAGGAATAATGAAATTCCTCTATTCTAAATCCTAATGCTAATGTGAAACAAATCTGAGCAGGTGGCAGCACTCAGCTAACCTTGGCAGATGGCAGAAGATAAATATTTGGCCAGAGGTAGTATCTGGCAATGCCAAGAATGTTGGTTAGACAAAGAAGTAAAAGAAAACCCAGAAGAAAATTGTAGAAATCCACTTCAGTTATGTTGCTAATAAGACTGCATGGATGCTTTAAGATGCTTTAAGAAAATCAGGCGTGACCGATTTCTAAATTAAATGCTATAATAAGTGCTTTATGATTTTATTTTTTTGAACTTCTATTTTTTTTAAATGGACAGGTTGTTTTTCTGAATGTATGCCTCAGTCATAGTAGAAAATTAATTCCTGTATTTATTTCCAAATACTCCTTGTTGTCATTTTTTCAGAAATTCCAGACAGCCAAAAGATAGAGCAAAGATAATCCTTTATAGCTGTAGGGATTTTTTTCACCTGAATTGTGTTTTTTTATGCCATGGTTTTACAGATCACTTTTAATAGAACAAAGCACAAAATTCCTTTACCACCCATTGTTTCTGTGAAAGGAAATAAGGTCTTCCTTCTTAAGAGGGTGGTAAGAATAAAAAATATTGCAATTGTCAATTTCAATTTATCTCTGGAATTTTCAGCCACAATTCACATTTGCTGATTTTTTTTTCTCATTCAGCATAACAGAGCTGCCAATAATTAAAGAAAAATGCCAGCAAACATTACAGGAAACATTACTAAATAGATTACTGTTAACTGGAATTTTAGAATAATACAAAATATTTTTTTAAAAATACCAAGAGCATTTTTAGGGTACAGATATCCATGGAGATTATTTTTAGGCAATGATCCGGTGAGGTCCCAAGCATTATCTGGTGCTTGTAACATCTGTGCAATCATGCGCCATACATCATTTGAGATAATAATGCACAATTGTTTAATTTTCACAACAACCAACACATGCTAAATGCTAAGGGGAAAACAGTATTTTCTCCATAGAGATAATGATTGAATCCAGCAGAACAAATGAAAAGTGCAGATTTCTTTCATAAAGAAAGAATGCAGGAAAAGTCCAAGGACCAGAGTCACTGAGTTATTAGGCTTTTCTGTAAGGCAATTTTGCTGGCCCTTTGCTGCTGTCACTTGATCAGCTCTTGCTGTTTATTTGATGATAGCAATAATTTGCAGTATCTTCTTTAAAAAATAATTAAAATGTTGTAATGAGTTGCAAGACAATAGCCAGTGCGTACTGAAATTATTTTCCAGCTGTACGATTTCAGCTTCTGCATATGGTGAACTAGCCAGGAAGCTGTTCGCCAAAAAATATATGTGAGCATTTCTCTTCCCTCATAATGCTGGAGTAGAAAATAGGCAATGATATTTAAAGTGCTTTGAGGGTAGTTGCATTTGCCACAATACATGTTTATGTTTAATTGTGTTAGACTGATTGTTTTTTGGGAATGTTCCATTTGCAAAGCCTGTTTATCAGTTCTCTGAATGTTAGAACAATACGAGTAGCATTCCTGTTTTAGCTGTCTGAGAAATTTTCTGATAGTCTCTGGAGTGTTCTGTCATGAACAGGGAGCTCAACTGTGGTATTTTACCCACACTATCTCTTATCTCTCCTTGTTTTAGGTGGTCAGCTTCTTCAGCCTACGCTATGACACTGCTCCCACCTGGATGGTGCTGGCAGTGCTCTGGTGCTCCATGGTGCAGACACTGCTACTCCCATCATTCATCTGGTCCTGTGAACGTTACCGGGCAGATGTCCGGACAGTCTGGGAACAATGTGTAGCAATAATGTCAGAAGATGATGGGGAAGATGGTGAGCAACCTACCCACTTCAGTCTTTGCATAATATATTGAGGAAGTCTCATACTGTGGAGAGGGGGGAGTAATCACAAGCTTCAAAGGTATGAAGTATGAGATCAGCAACCAGAATTAGGTATCCTGTCAGGAGATTCGTCAGAGGAGCAGGTATCTTTTTATCTGTTGCAAATTTGCATATTTTAGATGGTGTTTATGTGTCTGTATTAATTCTCACAGAGTACCAACTTAAATAATTCCTAAAATTGCAATGTGTTCCACAGAGGAAAATAAAATAGTTCCTTACTTTGTTAGTTTTAAGGATGAAGGCTAATTAGCAGTATTAACAGTTTGCAAGAGTTATTGGAATCTTTATACTCATCCCCTTCAGCGTGATATGCACAATTGTTTTCTTATCCAACCCTGTCATTTCCATATCCAGGACAGGGAAAGGAAGGTGGTAGGTCTAGAGCAGTGGTGGCGAACCTATGGCACGGGTGCCAGAGGCGGCACTCAGAGCCCTCTCTGTGGGCACGCGCGCCGTTGCCCCAGTCCTAGGCCTTCAGCTGGGTTTTATAAAACCTTTTCGCTTTAGGCCTCCATCGCCGTGTGCAAAAAAAAAAAAAGGTTCAATCAATCAGTCAATTTCAACTTCTCGTGGTAAAAAAAAATCTTGCAAAGTTGGAATTGATTGATTGAACTTTTTAGTCCCACCCAGTCTGCCGTTACCACCGCAGCTACGCCCAGCCAATGGGCCACACCCACCTGGCACCCGACAATGCATAAGTGGGTTTTGGGTTGCAGTTTGGGCACTCGGTCTCTAAAAGGTTCTCTATCACTGGTCTAGAGAGTAAATTCTTATTCCTAGAAGCCTGGAGACCAGTCCATTTCTGCAATTATAAACAGTCTGGTACCAAGATGTTACTGAAATCAAATTGTGGAATATCAGTTGATCAGATGACATCAGCTAATATTCAGGTAAAATATCTGAGAGATCAAATTTACACAGGTGCTTTTTTCGGTAACTAACATTAGAGTTCTAATCTAGAATGTGATTCTAATCACATTCAAGACATAATCCTTATTTCAATTTTTTCCCAGCACATACCCTGCAGGTAGTTGTATACTGAGTCAACTATCAGTTTTGCCCTTAACTCCATGCATTAGTTGTGTGCTTTTAAACAACTACTAGATTACTACAAGACTGGGGGCAGAAATGCTGTCTTTGCATTTCTGCTGCTCTTATTAGATCAGTACCAGATTAGGGCATTGTAGGCCTCTGCCTCTGTCTGAAGCTTCATCCCATGATCCTTCCCCAAACTGCTGAGTTGCATGTGCTGATTAAAGGTTATGAATGTTGCTGAGCCTATAGGCATCTTCCACAACCAGCTCTTAGGCTGGATTTGGACATCCAGTGAAATTGCAGCATTAGTCCTAGTAGGAAAAAAAGTTCACATTTGAAACAAACAAGACAAGAATTACCTCCAGCTGTTCTACCCAAGAATGACCATTTAAGCAGGAAATCAAGGAACTGAACACAATCCGGCATATTAGCTTGTTTATTTCTAGATTTCTCAGCAGCCTCTTTAGCATACAGAGCATACCTTTTAACAGCACTGAAAAAAGAGATCAGAATATATCATGGGCTAATTATTGCAAGCTATTAACAAAAGCATGTCTGTACTGTGAAGTGCAGGACTAGTACAGCACAATACAGACTCAGGACCCTAGGTGGGTAAAATATTTTTGGAAACCAATAACATGTCATAGCCACAATGACTTTCAAATAATACCCTGCCATGCTAATGTGCAGGTGTGATTTCTCTATGGTGAGGACTGAGGTGTCCCTGAAAGGGTTTTTAAAGTTCTCTGTTCTCCGTTAGATGGCGCTGGTGATGATTATGGAGATGGGAGGATCTGCAAGGTGAGATTCAATGCCAATGGTGCTACAGCCATGAAGCAGGATCCTAGGGATGCTAAGCTGCTGCCGGTGCACCATATGCTGTTGCCCCATGACAGGGTACATTATTTGCAGGTAAGCTGCTTGCTCTGAGTGTTACATCTACCATATGAATAAAGAGCCAACATTGTTAGCAAAAATACTGAACTGACGATTCTAGTCCACCTGCAACTATGGAAGTCACTGGGTGGTCTCAGCCCAGTCTACTTGACGATTGCTATTGTGGAGGAAAGTGGGAAGAGGGATTACTTTGTACATCACCATGAGTGCATAAACAAAGAACAGGAGAGAAACCTGATGCACACACACAAAAAATTACACTTCTAAATATATGCACATGGTCTTCTGTTAGATTGAATCAGTCCATGTACAACAGGTCAGTGTCGTCTAACCATGTTTTCTTAGATTCAAAGTACTGTATTGCAACAACTCATCATCCATTGTATTTGGGGACAAATTTATAATACAGTAAGCTAATATGGTAAATTGGATGGAGAGACTGGCCCAGAGACACTTAGTAGATGTTATGGCTAATTAGATTTGAACTGAAGATCTTCTGTTCTAAGTAGAACTTCAAAATACACAACATTGATCTTAACTCCAAAACTAGATTCCGCTTTTGACTTTATAATGTATTGGAGGCTTTTTAAGAAGACAATGGATAGCCATTTGTCTGGAATGGTATAGGGTCTCCTGCTTGAGCAGGAGTTTGGACCGGATGATCTCCGAGGTCCCTTCCAACTCTTATTCTGTAATCTGTAATCTACTTAATAATTAGAGACATGCTAAAAGCTAAATGGGACTTTTTATTTCTGAGAATACAGAGGCATTTAAACTTATTAGTTTAATGAATATACATAGTTGACCTGTTTTCTAAGCTAGTTGTTTTCATAAGGGGGCATTAGTAACTAACCAGACAAAGAGTATTCCCAGTTTGATGCCAAACTGCTATGTGATAATTATGGGTGTTTTTTTCATGAGCATCTGGAGGGGGACATTTAAATATAGAGCCTTTTTTTTAATTTGTAGTTTGTAATCCACACACCCTCCCATCTGTTTCTACATCTCTTGTAGGAATATGGCACAATTTTCCTCCAAGCAGCTGAGCTATAGGCAATAATTCACGTTTGTGTGTTTAGTGAACATCGTGGGAGAAAAACAGTTTGGAGGTTTAGGGATGAGCATTTGATGTAGCACTGCAGGGAGATACAGTAGAAGCTTTATTCGCTCTACTTAAAAATGTAGAACTGAGTCGAACTGGGGAGCTGCTCCTCTAATTATTGAACATATTGGAAGATTAACATTCCAGAGTAATGTGGATGTGATGGCTATTCCAGCTTTCCTTTTATAATTGAATTTTATGCCAAGAAAAGGTGTATCTGGGGAAACACCAAAGGACCCCATCTGGACTATTGTAAAATTCCTTGAGACTATGGATTGCAAAATGAAGCTCTTGAATAAAAGCGCCATTAGAGAATGGTGGTACAACAAGGTACTTTCCCCCTTTTCCACAAATATATAATATAAGAAAGCATGTATGGTAAAATGAATGAATGAAAGAAAGAAAGAAAGAAAGAAAGAAAGAAAGAAAGAAAGAAAGAAAGAAAGAAAGAAAGAAAGAAAGAAAGAAAGAAAGAAAGAAAGAAAGAAAGAAGGAACCAGGAAGGGAATAACATTTTTGTAAAACAGCATTATGAGCAAAGGATGCTGTTTGTTACATTCACATAAATCAGGGATCCCCAACCCCCAGTCCGTTGCCTGCCAGCAACCGGTCCGCACAAACAAGGAAAGCCCCATCCACAGGATGCAGGCAGCATAGAAAAGCACACCCCCTCCGGTCCGCGGAAAAACCTCCCTCTACATAACCGGTCCCTGGTGCCAAAAAGGTTGGGAACCTCTGACATAAATAAAGAACAATTAGGAAATTCAAATAACAATACATTTCAAAGCAAATGTATTCGATAGGAGCCTTCTCTGATCTTCTCCATCTTGAGATCGTTTTTGCATGCTGAAAAAACAGATATACTAACAGTCTAACTGCATAGGAAAAAGTAAACCTGATCTTTGCAATTAGTGGGAAGGCATTGGAGTGATTAACAAATTCTTGAGAATCTTTTAAGTTTCATAGTATTAACATTTGATTAAAGACAATTCAAACTTAATTACTTTAAACACTTTACAATGTATATCTTATGATATCTGCCTGTGAACCATCTGGGACTTGTTATATAAAGAGAAGGGAGGAATATGCTAGGTGGCTCAGATTTCCTTCTTTCATTTAGACTCCTAAAATGTTTAAGCTATTGGACATTTCTATCAATGGAGAACAATCTATATTCTTCAGTTGCTGTTTCTCCATTAACTTTCCTTTCAGGTTCCTATCTCCCGGAGGATGTCTCACGATGAAACCAATATCTTTTCTTCCCATCGTTCGACTCCTTCCTTCCTTCACAAGTGGTCCTCATCTGATGACATTCGGGTAGCTGCTCCACACAAACATGGAGGACCCTCCAGTTTCCTGCCTCCAGAGCTCCGTAGCTACCATCATCGTCGACATTCCCCTGAGGATGAGTTCACTACACTACGGCAGTTTCTAGAAGCCGGAATGGCTCGGGGACCTGGCTCCAGTGCTTGCTTCTTCCGTGATGAGATTACGACCTTTATTGATGAAACACCGGCACCCTCCCCTTACAGCACTCCACGCCATTCACGCCTCCCATTCTCAGTACAGCGTGAGAGGCACCATTCCCTAAACGGTGCCGAACTAGAAGGCCCTGATAGGAATCAACAGTTTTCACTGACTGATGGTGAAAGGTTATACCTCTGTGCTGGAGAACAGGGGCCTGGCAAATGGACCATGGCAGCTCACGGGGCACAATCCTTGCAGGAAGTCAGCCTACACAATGGCACCAAAGGCAATAGCGCTGCTGTGGATTTTTAAGGAAATCCCAGAACTCAGAATTTAGGCTCCCGTGTTTTTTCTTGATATTCTAAGAGGACAGGAGTTATGCCATAAGGGAACCTGATATGGAGGGGAGATTAGTAGTGAGAGGGCAGAAAAATGTCACAGCTGGAGAGCACAGTGGCATCTTGCTCTCAGTGGACAACTGAGTCCAGACCACCATAGTTAACTGAGGGCACTTTTTGTCTGCTCCCTATCTTTGGTAGCATTGTTAGCACTATCCTTTTCACACCTTTCTTAGCTCCACTCGTTATGAGAAAAAAATTCAGTGTGGTGAGAAGGAATATACATATATGTGTGTGTGGAAGGCATATTCCATATATATATATATATATATATATATATATATATATATATATATATATATATATATATATATATATATATGGAATGTCACATGTGTCTGGTTTTTTAGTGTTAATTAATCATGTTTTTGTGCTATTAAAGTGATTCAGGCTACAAACTGATATGTGCTTAGCTGGGAATTAGTGCCCCTAAAAACTACAGGACACACAAGGTATACAAGAGAGTGTTGCCATCAAATGTTTAGTAAATCTTAGCAGGACAAATTGGGAAGAATCACCCTCAGCTAACCTTACCTACCAATGAAGTGCATTACATGTGAAAAGAGGAATCAGTGATCATGAAAGTGTTTATTAAGCATTCTAAGATTGATTGATTGATTGATTGATTGATTATGGGCCATCAAGTCACTAGAGGCCAGTAGCTCACACATAGTACTACAACAGTTCTTACAATGGGTCTCTTGGAAAGCATTATCATCCATACATTACAGATGAGGAGGGCTAATGGGAGAAATAAAAATGTTCAAGAAAGAAATGGACAGTCACCATTAACAGAGGTTGATGAAAGCAGGATTTCACTAGATCTTTGACAGCTCTCTTTCATCACAGATGCAATCATGAGCAGAACTAGTGCCCAAAACTGGAAGAAAGATACTATAAACAGCCGAACTCATCTGGGTTCATATATTCAAAGTTTATTTTTATGCCAGATTTATCTCCAGAGGGTAGTAGTTAATTCAAGGGAAAGAGAAGAAGGGATTTGCCTAGTGCCGCATTCACAGTTGAAGTATTTCCAGATAAGGCTTTTAGTATGCAGTTAGAAATTTATAAAGGTGAAGATATTGTTATTTTCCATCAGTCAGTTTTCCATGTTTCCTACAACTATTTTTTACCAAAGAAAATGCATTAAGGAAAGAAAGATGGAATAGTGGCATGGTGCCTTTTGACTGATACTACCTAAGAGACAACCATTTGGGGACATGTCATGGCTTGTTCACTCACATTTTGTTGGTAATAGGGGAACATATATATGTGATCCACCTATGTTGTAGCAGATGATAGCAATTACCTGATCTTGACTGATATCCCCCAAAAGCTAAACAGAGTTGGATCTAGTTAGTAATTAGATAGAAAGTACCAGGAAGTGCTAGTAAGCTAGACTGGGAACTCATAAAACATCCCAGAAGGCAGCTTTTGTAAACTATTTGATTCTTATTCCTTCTTTTTACTTCTAACAATCTTGATCTTTAGTCCCTTCAAATAATGTCATGGAACTTGATTTCATTTTTTTCTTTGTCCCTTCTCACAAAGTTCTTTAAAACTTGAACAAACCTCTTTTGTAAATCCAATATAGGAAAATTATCCAGGTTATTCTCTTAATTAAAATGGATATACAAATAACAAATTAAGACATCAGTTGTTCTTTTGTACATCCAGTGGAATATCATTCTTGTAGCCTGTCATTTTTAAATCCACTTTCAAATCGGTCTCAATCTTGTCAGACAGAACCTATTCCTCTTCCATACCATCTATTCAACACAGTCTATCTATAATGACAGACAGTCTTAAAATTAACTTCTCTATCCATGGTTCAAAAATACCTTTCAAGGTGTCCAATGTTAATTTTTGCTTCATTCTGTAATTGTTAGTCAAATTTGAGATTTCTCCTTTAATTGTAATTTTTAGTTTCCTCTAAATTTTTAAAATCTTACCTTGAAAGTTCATTTTTGAAAAAAAAAATCAAAACAAAAACATTTCAGGGTGAAGGTTCTTTCTCCCAGCTTGTGGGTTGATTTCCGAATGTTTCC